CACTTTCCTGGCTGCGGTTTAGAATGAGGATGGCTGCTTTTGCTTTTGAATGGGCTTCTTGTAGCCCACCGCCAAACCCGCTGCCCTGCGGTCAGGTTTTTGTGCCAAAGGCTTTGGTTGAATAGCCTAATCCTTCTCCTGTCTAGTCCTGGGCAACCTGACAATATCATGCCCACGCAATACAATAACTTTTCTTCAAACATTTTCCTGATGCTATAACCGTCTTATAGGATAATAAATGGCGCCATATCTGCTGCATCGAGCAGAGTAGATAAGGGTTCGGATGCTATTGCTCAGGTCTTCTTATCTTCTTTTTCACCCTCTTGCTATGTTTCACAATTTTGGTCCCGTCCCAACTTCATTTTATCCCCCCCCCCAGTTTTCAATCCCTCGATTCTTGGCCCTCCCCCAACATGCTTTGCTAGACTTCTATCTTCTGGTTCAACTCGCAAGCAAACGCGAAGGGTCACTCCCTCCCTGTCGGCAATCCCAAGCCCAACCAAGCGGTCCACCCCAGTTCCTCGGCTTCCGTTTGAAGCGCACGATCCTCGTTCATGTTAGCATGCTTCAGTGTACGCACATCACTACAGTTTAGTGAACGGGCAGCAAGTGCCTTAGCTTTAGGGATTCTCTCCATTGATATCTTCTGTCTGTCGGAGACCCGCCTGCAGGACTCGAGCAGTGTGCTCACTCTGCGATCCCTTCAGGTGACACCAGCAGCAGTTTCTCATTGCGCCTACCCGGTGACGATGCAGCTTCGCACACCGACCGAGCTGGTGTTGGCATTGTCATGAGTCCTCGGGTTGAAGCCGCTCTGGTTGTTTGGATTCCATTCAGTAACCGGATGTGTGCGGTCCGATTGCTTGTCTCGTTCAAAGCTCCGAAGTCGCGCGTGAATAATAGGTGTCTATTCATCATCGCTGCCTACGCACCCGCAAACCCTGGCGATGATGTGTAAAAAAATGACTTATCCCCTCACCTGACGGAGAACCTTTGCCACAGACGAAACACAAACTGTTGTGCTGTCAGGGGATCGGAACGTACAAGCTGGAAAGTTGTCCCCTAATGAACTGCATCGGGGCGGTCAACACTGTGTAGGTTCCCGTAATGATAGCGGTGAGCGATTACTTATATGTGTGAAGATGCCTGCGTATTTCCTGCGAGCATTAACTCCCGACAAAGCACCAGCCGGAAGGTGACATGGCTCCCACAAGTCTTGAACCAGTTTTGGACGCAAATCAATCGCCTTGTAATCAGTTATCGTTAGAGAGTCTGCATCCAGTAGTGTCGCTCGGTTTGAAGAACATGTGTGGACACCGACCATGCATTTGTATGTGCTGACATGTGGATGTGACTTGGCGGACGCCCATGACGACGCTGTGAGAGCTTTGACCCCAGTCAATTGTCGAAGCCGGCTGTTCTGAATGCGTATCGAAATACGCTGACATGCGTGTTGACTGAGCGCTCACCGGAGACAATTGAAGGTCACTGGGCACATGTGCACCAGATCATACTAGCGGCAGGTCAATCCTCACGTGGTAAGTGTAATCGTCAACGTGGACATTGGGTCTCTACGCGGTCACTGAAATTTATCGAGGCTCGCCGGCATATTCCGGCTGGAAGCGAACACAATGAAACTCGCAAAGATCTCCGGCAAAATCTCCGTGCTAGCCTGAAGAGTGACCACGAATCCTGGTGGTATCTTCGTACGTCGGACATGGTAGTGGCCACTGCTCTTGGTACCCATGGAATCTTATTCCGTTTGATACTGGAAACGGGTAACAAGAGAATTGGTGTTGGTGAAACCATTTATGACGAGAGTGGACAACGTATCCACAACTTGTCAAAACGTTTGGAGTGCTGGGCTCAGCATTTTGAAAAGCAATTTAATTGGCCAAAATTGTTAGATTTCTCGCCGGCCACTGACCGCCCCTCTCCCTGGGCTGTCCCTTTGGATCTGCCTTCTCGCTCAGAAGGGAAACGAGAGATAGGACCACTGAAGTTGAACAAATCCGCGCAAACAGATGATCTACATTCAGCCCTCTTCAGATTCGGGGGCCCTGCTCTTGTTTATGGTTTATACGAATAACCAGTAAAACTGTAGGAGCAGGAAATTGTTTCAACCGAGTGGAGCCGCTCCGTTATTGTTCTTATCTTCAAATGATGCTCCCGTTGGAAATGCTGCAACCAAATAGGAATCAGTCTGATTTCTATCGCCTCCAACTTGCTTTCTTCTGTAATCCTTCACAGACTGACGGGCGTTCATGAAAGCTAGAGTCGTGAGGACCAAGCCGGTTTTCGTCGGGGTTTTGGCTGCATCCATCACATCTTTATCTTGTGTCAATTGTTGCAGCACCTTCACAAATTGGCGGAGACCCGTAGTCGTGTTCCTCGACATCAAAGCTTTATTCGAATCGGTGGATAGACGTGCTCTTTTGGACTGCCAGCTAAAGAATGGTGTGCCAGAGAAATAGTTAAATATTATCCGAACATTATACGCACGTAGCTCGGGCTGTGTGAGGGTTTACGGCAAGCTGTCGCCGCCCTTCAATATCTCTAGCAATGTGAGACAAGGATGCCAGCTGTCACCATTCCTCTTCAAGTTCGCTATTGACGAAGACATGGAAATCGCGTTCATATGACACGACTTAGAAGGTTTGCATCTGCTTCCAGATGAAGCACTTTTTGACTTGGAGTATGCTGACGATATTGCTCTAATTTGTGACAGCTCACAAATGTGCCAAGATGCACTGGACAGGTTAACACTAGCGGTCAGCCACTTTGGGCTTTGCTTTGCACCATTGAAGTGCAAATCTTTCCTCCAAGTTTGGCAGGGATCGCCTCCTGTGATAGCCCTTGGTCGAGATTAGCTAGAAGTCGTTCAGAAATTCAATTACTTGGGAGGTTTATAAGAGCCATGGGGATTGAAGATGAGATCACGAACCGTATATCAAAGCTCGAAGTGTTTTCGCTAGTCTTCGCCACGTATGGTGACGGCGCGACATCACTCTAGCCCTGAAGCTTGGAGTGTACAATGCAGCGGTACGTTCGACCCTACTGTACGGTTGCGAAACCTTGCCCTTAAGATCAGAGGACATGATGAGGCTAGTTAAGTTCGACCATCAGTGCCTTCGCAGTTTGGCTCATATCTGCAGGGAACACCCCGTGAGTAACGAGCGTGCTCGACGCCTTTTTTACGGCACAGAAAAAGGATCTGAATCGCTCAACACCGTCATTTCCCGCACCAGGCTCGGATGGCTGGGCCACGTGTTGCGCGTACCAGCCCACCGACTTCCATGACCAGCGTTGTATGCTCGCCGGGGGTGTGGATGTAAGAAGAGGAGGGGTGGCTAAGCTTTGACTTGGTCGAGAGGAATGAGGGCCCTCATATCGGAGCTGGTCTCGCTTGGAGCGTTTCGGCTCCCTACATGCGGTCTGAAAGACGATGAACACCTTTGGCTAGATACACTTGGTGGCATGACTAGGATTCGATCTCAGTGACGTTTACGTTATGAGTTTCTTTGTCCCTCCGATTCGTTTTAGTCTTCCAATCCGAGCATGATCTCAGTTGGCAGCATAATATAATTTTAGATAATCTTTTTTGCCTAGTAGCCGGCTTGTAGCTTTCCAGTACGATGCCCATCCGCTGAGATAGCTCAACTGGCATGTAACTTTGGCAGTTAGTTTCTTTTTAGTTTTTTATGCATTGCAGCGTAGTAGTTGAGGTGTTTCCCGCCTCTAACTAACGTTTATAAGGATGTGTTTAATATATTCTACTCTGTCTCACTACGCAATCTAAAGGCTCTGGGAAGGTGTCCTTTGCAAATAGCTGAAACAGTTTCCATCTGACTGAACCAGCCCGTGCTTTGCAAGCAATGAGACCTTGTATCAGTGATTCCGCTACCCTAGCCACGCGGCAGTTACTCGGTGTCGGACTCTAATTACTTACCATCGGCTGCGAGACCTGCCTTAGGCGGCGTGCAATTAGCTGCGAGGCCTACCCTAAGTGGATCAACCTAGGCATCGATCTGAATTACTGACTCCATTCAAACACTTGGCATAGCCGTCCTCAGAGTGGCTGACAGCAGTTTACAGGGTTGTATGTATTTTGTCTTTTTACTGTAATGGCCTGGTGAGAATAATCGAAATGAGATCTCTTTGCTCTTCAGACTTTTTATCTTAAAATGGAGGTTAATTTTAAAGGCCGTAGGCCTTTTCTCCTCCCATGTAGCTGAGCGCTCTATCTGACCTTAATAAACACGAAAAGTAAATGTCGAACAATCCAAATAACGACCCATTAGTAGAAGGGATTGTTACAATACTGACTATAACGTTGCGGGGTTTAATCTTTCTCTTAGATTTTACGATATACGAATTCGCGTAGTCATTTGTCGTCTATCTGTGTCCGTATTGGTAATCTGCCATGCCTTTCTAAGGACCAATTGGATACTTAGATGGCCCCACTGTTAAAGAGTCAGTGATTAAAGAAATAGCTTCAACTTCTAACAAAATATTTTATTAGTAATATCTTTAAAGCTATCAGAATGCTGTAATTAGCTGAACGTATTTTGTGTAGGAGAGTCACATTCGTCGAAACTGTCAGGGATGCTGAGCTCATAATATTTAGCATCGCAGCGGATTAACTGAGGGTTTAGAGATCTTCAGAATACGTGCATACAGTTAGCACAAACATTAGTGTGTACGGATATCGAACGCAAAATCCTCTCTACCGCAACTCTTTTGATAAGCTGAGTTGTGATTTATTTTCACCAGCCTGCATTTTAGCGTGCCATTCTAAGTGCTAATAACAGATGTTTGTGTCAAACTCCGCACTTAATGTTAATTCTTTCCAATCGAATGGTCTCGTGTGGCTTTTTGCTCGGACATATGTCCCACTCGGTTGAGTTCATGGGGATTATGCTCGTCTGTGTGCGGCCTGAACAGAGCAATTTGATTGGTCCCGTAAGCCTTATAGAGCCGGATCAACCAGTCATTTATTCGAATGTGTAGTGGTGTGGCCCCCACCCGCATCCGGCCAGTCGGTCGGTCGGTTGGACTTGACTGACACGACCGAGAGCGGCGCAGTGTATAGTCAAACGCACACTTGTGTCCGAATTCACACTGGCATTACTGCGTGAAAATATGTGTTGGTGAGTTAACCATTCTAACAACTGGTTTTGACAAATAATGCCAGCATTCATATAACTAGTTGCATTATGTCTAGGTGGTAAAACTACACATTACAACAGGCAAAATGAATGTGTCTCATATTGTCTAAGTGATTGTGTGCTGCATGCAGATATAGTTAAGCTTAATTGTGAAAATGGTGACATTGTTACAGTAAGACAAACAAACGCTCATGCTGCTTACCGTACAGATTAGCCAAAGTATTTTTGCTAAGAAGAGAGATATAGGACATACAAGTGTGTTCATCTGGTCATTCAAATAAGATGGGTTTTTAATTTCATTTCGCACAATGCCCTCTTTGATTAGTCTGCGTTCGATCATACATAGAGCGAATGCTGTGAAATAAATTCACTGAACACATGCACAAGCCGTAAACGTCATCCCCTTTGAGATGTAGAATATTTTAAGTAGGCTTTATAGTGCGCCGTGGCTTCCCCCCTTAAGTAAACTAGTAAGACTTTCAATATGGTCATTTGCCAACACACTGCTTCTTTTGCGTCCTCATAACGGCGAATGAATGCGCCCTTTAACTGCTCCGGTGTTAATGAATTTTCTTGCATCCCCAACTACCTGCACCAACAGGAATGAGCTACATCTTAATTAGGAATGAAATGCTTACAAGCTTACATGCGATGCTTTTTCCTAGTGGCAGTCTCCTACGTCGTGTGGCATCGGCAGATGAAATCAACGGATTTCTACTGACGGTAACGCTGTTATTTAAGGATACCAGTTTTAATGTGATAGGCAACACGAAAATTGAATTTATATTTGATGAAAGAGCTGCAGTTATTTGAGTAGTAAACTGTCATCATTAGGTGGCAATGTGGGATGTCGAATAACATACTGAAGCCAAGTACGTGTGGATATGGAGACCCATGTATTAAACCTTGTTCCAAACCAAATTGAGCAGTTTCCTTTTGCTTTTAGATTAAATAAGCCGCACTTTGAGTAATTTGCTTTGTTTTTTCAGTTTCATTTTGGAATTCAACAAAGCAAATACCATTACGCAGTGATAAGTATAAGTTTAACGAAATTTGGAAATCTTTCTGAAATGGTTTGCTTGAATAATATGTTACAGCTTTTAATCATAGAATATTTCTTATTTTCAACAAGTGTAACTTGTTTATGCCTTCTAACAGCCAGTCATGTAACCTTTTGAATTTGCCAGTACTGGAATGTACTATTTATCTTTCTCCCTGCATTCTCTCGATGCGCTTGGAAAGTTAGTTGCATATGGCTTTGTTGCAAACGGACTTATTGGACAGAAGTATCTTATCATTATTTAATGTTAAGTAAATTCAGCAAACTGAATAAAACCTGTGGTTGAACTCTGTTGGGGCTGGATAGAAAAGGTTAAAAAATATAATTTTCTTAGTGAGCTGGTTCTCTTAAGCAAACTGTATTTAGGCTAGACCTGAAGACACAAAATATCACACACTCATAAAACTAGTCTCGTTCAGCCAATTGCCAGTATGTAACTAGGCGTAATTTACAGTAAACATAATAGTCTGCTACTCAGATGGATAACTTGATTAGTTAAATTATCCGCGTTTTCACTTCAAAAAAGTGGCAGCAACATGTTGATTTCTTCTACCTTGTCTTGAGTGTACAGTAACTTTATGCACCCACCTTAAACTGGTTTACGGTTACAAAGTTTCCCGTCATTCTAACGTTAGACTTGGGTCAATTTGGTGACAAAGCGTTTCCGTTACAATGGTTCGCTGCAATGTATATGTAGTGCACTTGTCTTCCAGTCTACTGTTCGCATGTCCAGTAGCTGGCATTAGAAAAGATATAATAGCTCAGCAACGGAATGATTGCTCAAACAATGGACGGTCTGTGAAGGTTGGTTATCATGACCAACATAAACTCTGTGAATCATCAATGACTCTGAACTACTAAATTAGTCGTAAATCTGCTGGTATGTTTCTGTGGCCAACCTATGATTGCTGATGCATCATTGTACCAAATATCTCTGAATATACAAATAAAGATAAGTTGTAGAAATTTTGGATACTCCACTATAGACATCTCCTTTGTTTTCGTGCGGATCACTACGAAAAACCGATGGCAATAAATCTCACTTAAGAAGTGGGAAACAATTTAATATGAGAGTTCAACGGATTTGCATTATTGGACTGGGAGTTGGGCTAAGTTAATCCAAGAGTTATAGGTTTCATACCAATACTGTCACACTGTTATTGAATTCTATCATGATGAGTTGGTTGTAAGTTCTACTCCACACAGTATTCAAACGGTTTAGAGTTAACGTATATGGGCATGATAGCGCAGATGTGAATGGTCTCTTCTGTATTCTGGTTTGATTGAATAAGTTTAAAATCAACACCAGCATATTTTTAGGTCTTTCGTTAACCAGTGTATTATATATCAAATCATATCACATGCACAGATCGATTCAGGATCGGCTTGTCACCCTAATTCATTTGGGAACAGAAGCACACACCCCACCTGATAAAATGTCACGCAATCGGCGGTGAGCGATGTGACGAAATGTAGGGTATGAACAAAAAGTTTAGTTCCTTAATCAAACTTGACACTCGTGCATAAATGCTTCAATGGTTTGTTACTGATTACTAGAGGGAAAGCCCAAAATAGGCAAAAGAGCATGCATCTGCTTTTGCCAAATATTTACGAAGATAGATAAAAATAGTAAAGCTTTGCAGCTGATTGCCTAAGTTTATGTCTAATAGGTAGTTAGCTACTTCCAAAGCTGATAAAATTGACGTAATGCCAAAATAAAAATGAGGTAATTGCACTGTAAGATTCAGTTTCACAACAGACAGCGCACTCGTAAATACTACTTAAAAGCATCTAGTCTGTTGCGGTTCATAATGTACATTGTATGTTTTTAACGTCCTATGAAACATGAGACACCAATTTGGACCAGTACCAGCAAACTAATGGAAAACGCGAGGAAAGAGGGGTCGATAAAATCATGGAACCCCAAGAGGCATTTTATGCTCAAACTAGTGTATCTAAAACATAAGGAATTCCATTAAGACAGCAGCCCAGTATTGAAATTAAAACACAGTGATACGGGGATTTAGGTAGGATGGAATAAATATCGCTAAGGTGATCACCGGTTTGTGGTATCAGTTATGTATTTGTGCTAACACCCTAAGTCTTAATTCTACCGACACGAAGACAAGTTACTTACTGTAGCTCCTTACTACTTATCTGCTGAGTAAAAGGAGTGGAATAAAGAGCGAAACCGGTCATAAGCTGCCTTGTTGTAACATTTGGATTACCTGCATAATTACTATTTATTCTCAGCTAATAAAGTAATAATGCTGTGCATGTATCTAGCATGTCGGAGGTGTGTGAGCACGATGATGATGGCCTGGTCGAAGGCTACCTCAAAACATACATTTGGGTTCAATGCGATGTGAGAATGGATAAGAGAACTATCAAGTAACTCGCTCAAATAGTAAGGTTGTAAGATACTTAGACTGCCAACCATCCATAAAACGTGATTGATATGCGATGAAAGTCACCGCATGGTCAACTGCATGCACCGCAGGATTAGGTGCGTATTGCCTACCCAGTGAGATATTACGCTCCATCTTGTTCAGAAGCAGCTCCGTGCTATGGCATTTGTTTACCTATATAACTGGCGTCAGATAGACGCCACCGATATACCAATCGATGTGCTTAAGATCATAGTCAGTGTAAAACCGATCTGCTAATATCAGAGGACGCACTTCTTATGCTGCAAAAGTGGACTTTCATCAGCGTATTTGGATACTTTTTACGGTGTATATCTCTTGTATGTATTTTAGTGGTCATTCAAGTCCCCACCCAACACTAATAACTTCTTCGTTCTCAAGCGCTGGTAGTTAGTGACGTGCTCACCAAAGTCCATAATAGTTAAAAAATCGACAATTTTACTTTCAATTTCGAACTCCATATGTCGCAGTAAAAGGCTCTACTTGTTAGCATATTCGTACTATGGGTCAGTGGTAGACTGTCAAGCTATGGGTACCGTTCGATACTAGTGAAGTACTGTCGAATGGTGGTGTTTCGGCCTGTGAGACTATCGAGCATAAACACTGGTCTCATGCCCGCACCGTTAGAGCGACATAACGACATGTAAATAGCGATGCCGTGGTCCACTATAACAATACTGTCAAATGGAATCGATAATTGATGCTTTGTGTGCAGAATGTTAGACCATCACTTCAGCTGATTGAAGCATACCAGTGTGGTAAATGAAGAATGCCGTGCGAACCAATTAAAACGCAAATGTATTACTCGAACAGCATTACAAATCATTTGACCTCATGCTTTTATGCCAACGCAACTAAGATTTCGATTGACGACTTGCCACAACACAGCCAGAAATGAAAACACCAGCTTCACTTTATCACTGCTAATAGTGTTTTTCTGTGTTTATATTGCAGAGTTTATTGCAAAGTTGCTTGCTTTTAATCAGCAGATAGCCAGGTCTGTTTAAGTAATGCCAATATATCATTTCTCCTTAATCCATCAATGGCAAATCACTTGTGGATAATCTAATGAAAACAGGGCGGCTTAGTAGCAGGGTGCCGTATTTGAATGACACATAGTGATTTGTAGAGCAATAAAACTGGGATTTGTTTCTTTATTATTTCTAAGAGAGAACAAAGCATGTTGATAGAAGCAAAGGAAGAATACATTTCCTGTATGGATCAATTGTTTGGTCAAAAGACTAATTTTAGCTGGAGCTTCGAACTGGTTACCGCAAATCCTGAGTACTGCTTGGAATTGCATTCATCAAAACACCATCAGTGGCATTATCAACTTTCGAGTATTCGCAAATCTGGTCAGAGAAAAATTAGTAGATACAGTTGGTGGTTTCCATTGGTTAAATCAATTGTCCTGTGTTACGAACGGGCCTCTATTTTATCTAACAAGCAGTAGGATTGCAAAGTTAAAGGATATAAAGTCTAACTAAACAGCGTTG